TTCCGACCCATAGCAACCCTGTATAGGGTTTCCGAGGGTGTAAATCTTTACGGGAGTAGAAAGCCTCATCTTTCTCCCAAGGAGCAGCTGGTAGTTTCGAACCGCTGACCTTAAGGTTCGCAGCCGGATTCGTAACCACTACGCTACCAGAAATAGGTATAAAACTCATTGGATCAAAATATTTTTAATAAATGAAATGGATGTGCAGATTAAAAATTACTTAAACAAGTATAATTAAATGCTACATCTTCTACTGTTTTTTTCTAGAAATTTTACTAAAGTTAGTTTATAATTTTAACTAAAAATATTTATGACAATTAAAAACTAAATAACTGAGAAAAAGGATGCTGCAACTATATTTCCTTTAGTATCTTTGCTTACCTGTTTAAACTTCCAAATAATGTTCCACATTCTGCTGTATTATATGATGAATTTAGAGCTGCTTGACTTTCATTTAATTTAGGAAGCATAGATCTGGAATAGTTACCATTACTGAGCTGGAAAAAAAGAAACTGCCAAAATAGTAAATGTACATACAAAGCAGCTTCAAAATGTTCATGAAAAAATGGAATTAAAAGATAATGGATTTTTTCCACAAACTTTTTGAAGTCCCATCCTACACACAAATTAAATTATTTACCATACATGCGGCTGCTGTTGTTAACTTCTTTCGAGTAGGTTCCAACTCATACCAACCATTGGCTGTTCAAACTCACCAGCCACTGCTCAAAAACACTATACAGGGTCACTATGAGTTGGAACAAATTCAATGGCACATAACAACAAATGTTTGCAGGAGCAGACAGCCTCATCTTTCTCCCTGGGACAGCTGCTGAGGTTGAACCACCACCTTGTGGTTTGCAAAAGAGATGCCATTTAAGTGAACTAGGTGTAGTCCACTTAAATGGTCAAGTGCTTGACTAGTAACCAATTTAAGTGGAATATATCTATACCTCCACAATTTGTCTGTCAATTTGTTGTACTGTGGTGACTTGTGTGTTGCTGTGATTCAGAAATATATGCCACCAGTATTTTAAATACCAGCAGGGTCAACCACAGTGCACAGGTTTCAGGTGAGCTTCCACTGAAGACAGATTATGAAGAAGGAGAAATGAACTATTTCCAAATATTTAGTCACTGAAAACCATATGAATAGCAGTGGAACACTGTCAGGACCAGATTATTGAATATTTAAACATAATAAAGAGCAATAGAATAGTGTCAGATATAGTGCCAGAAAATGAGCCCCTCAGGTTGGAAGGCACTCAAAATGCGACTGGGGAAGACTTGCCTCCTCAAAGTAGAGTTAACAGTGATAACACAAATGGAATAAACCCCTCAGGACCCTCATTTGCTGATGTGGTACAACTCAAAATTAAGGGAAGCAGCTGTAAAAATCCATTAATCAGAACATGGAATGTAAAGTATTAATCTAGGAAAATTGAACTTGTCAAAATGTGATGGAATGTATAAACATTGATATCCTAGGCATGAATGAGCTAAAATGGACAGGCACTGGCCATTTTTAATCTGACAATAACATAGTTTACTATGCTGGGCATGACAAATTGAAGAGGAATGACGTCAAATTCATCATCAGCAAGAACATATCAAAAGCAGTCATGAGGTACAACAATCTCTGATAAAACAATATCCATACGCCTACAAGGAAGACCAGTTAATATCACTATTACTCAAATTTATGCATCAACCACTAAAGCCAGTGATGATGACATTGAATAATTCTATCAACTTCAGTCTGAAATTGATCAAACATTCAATCAAGATGTACTGATCATTATTGGCGATTGGAATGGAAAGGTTGGAAACAGAAGAAGCATCAGTAGTTAGAAAATATGGCTTGATGATAGAAATGATGCAGGAGATCATATGATAGAATTTTGAAAGACCAATGAATTCTTCATTGCAAATATCTTCTTTAAACAGCATAAAAGAAGACTATACACATGGACCTCACCAGATGGAATACACAGATAACAAACTGATGGCATTTGTAGAAAGAGAAGGTAGAAAAGATCCATATCATCAGCCCAAACAATGCCACGGGCATATTATGGAACAGACCATCAATTGCTCATATGCAAATTTAGACTGAAACTGAAGAAAATGAAAACAAGTCCATTAGAGCCAAAATATAACCTTGAATATATCTTACATGAATTTAGAAACCATCTGAAGAATAGATTTGAAGCATTACACACTAAAGACCAAAGACTAGAAGCATTACGGGATGACATCAAGAACATCATACAGGAATAAAGTAAAAGGTTAGTGAGAAGACAAGAGAGAAGGAAAAGACCCAAATGGATGTCAGAAGAGATTCTGAACCTTGCTCTCCAGCATACCAAGATGCTAAAGCAAATGGAAGAAGTGAGGAGGTAAAAGAGCTGAGAATTTCAGAGGTCAGCTCAAGAAGACAAAGTCAAATATTATAATGAAATGTGCAAAAACCTGGAGTTAGAAAACCAAAAGGTAAGAACAAGCTCAGCAATTCTCAAGCTGAGGAAACTGAAGAAAAAATACAAACCTCAACTTGCAGTAGTGAAAGATTCTATGGGCAAAATATTGAATGATGCAGAAAGCATCAAAAGATGGAAGGAATGCATGGAGTCACTGTACCAAAAAGAAATGATCAATGTTCAACCATTTCAAGAGGTAACATATGATCAGAGACAATGATCCTGACGGAAGAAGTCCAAGGTGCTATGAAGTGCTTGGGAAAGAACAAAGCACTGGGAACTGATGGGATGCAACTTGAAATCTTTCAACAAAGTGAGGTGGCACTTGAGGCATTCACTTACCTTTGCCAAGAAATTTGGAAGACAACTACCTGGCCAACTGACTGGAAGAGATATGAGTTTGTGCCCATTAAAAAGAGGTGATCCAATGGAATGTGGAAATCATTGGACAATATCATTGATATCCCATGCAAGCGAAATTTTACTAAAGGTAATACAGAAAAAGCTGCAGCCATACACTGACAGAGAACTTCCAGAGGTTCAAGTTAGTTTCAGAAGAGGATGTGGAGTAAGGGATATCATTGCTGACATCAGATGAATATTGGCTGAAAGCAGAGAATATCACAATGATATTTACATGAGCTTTACTGACTACACAAAAGCTTTTGATTGTGTGGATCATGACAAGCTATGGACAGCATTGAAAAGTATGAGTATTCCTGAACACTTAATTGTGTCATGAGAAACCTGTACATACACGAAGAGGCAGTTGTTCGAACAGAACAAGGGAACACCGCATGGTTCAAAATTAGGAAAGGTGTTCACCAGGGTTGTATTCTTTCACCATACTTACTCAATCTGTATGCTGAACAAATAATCCAAGAAATTGTATTATATGAAGAAAAATGTGCATCAGGATTGGGGGAAGGCTCATTAACAAGTTACAATATGCAGATGACACAACCTCGCTTGCTGAAAGCCAAGAGGACTTAAAATATTGACAAAGATCAAAGACCACAGCACCTCAAAGTAAAGAAGACAAAAATCTTCACCACTAGACCAATAAATAACATCCATATAAATGGAGAAAAGGTTGAAGTTGTCAATGACTTAATTTTGCTTGGATCAACCATCAACACTCATGGAAGCAGCAGTAAAGAAATCAGTCAACGTATTGCATTGGGCAAATCTGCTGCACAAGACCTCTTTAAAGTGTTCATGAGCAAAGATGTCAGTTTGAGGACTAAGGTGCACCTGATGCAACCCACGGTATTTTCAATAATCTCATATGCATGTGATCGTTAGAGAGTGAATAAGGAAGACCGCAGAAGAAATGAGATATGGTTTTAGGAGAAGAAAATCCAAAGTACCATGGACTGCTAAAAGAACAAAAAGATCTATGTTGGATGCTCCTCTTTCATATTTCAGACATACTGTCAGGAGGGACCAGTCCCTGCTGATGGGAATCATGTTTTGTAAAGTAGAGGGTTGGAGAAAAAGAGGAAGACCCCCAACGAGATGGATTGGCAAAGTGGCAGCATCAATGGGCTCAAGCGCGACCACAATTGTGTGGTTGGCCCAGGATCAGGCAGTGTTTCGTTCTGTTGTGTATAGGTCACTGAGTGGGTACTGACTTGATGGTACCTAACAACAACAACAACAACATCTACATGTACATCTAGTCTAGTTAAATGGTTAAATGCTTGACTAGTAGTCAAAAGGCTGACAGTTTGAACCCACCCAGAGTGCCTTAGGAAACAGTACTGGTGATCTGCTTATGAAAGGTCTCAGTCTTTAAATTCTATTGTTGTTAAGTGTCCTCAAGTCAGTTCAGACCTATAGCAACCCTGTATAGGGTTTCTGAGGAGTAGCTGTTGGGTTTGAACTGCCAACCTGGCATTTCAAACTAACCTTTTGGTCAAGTGCTTATCCTACAGTGCCACACCAGGACTTCATAGAGCAGTTCAACTCTGCATTTAAGGTACTGTCAGAATGAACGCCATGGCAACTAACAGCAAGCCTTTCTTGTTGCATAGCAACACCACAGAAAAGAATAATACTGCCCCATAAGGTTTCCAAGGCTGAAAATCTTTACAGATGCAAACTACCACATCTTTCTCTCCTGGAGCAGCTGGTAAGTTCAATTAGCAGACAAATAGTATTGCCAGGACTCCTTATCTATATTCAGAATTGTTTTTAGTCTGAAAGAAAGTAATTATAGTCTTTACTGTTGTTGTGTGTGCCATAGAGTCAATTTCAACTGAGCAATCCTGTATAGGGTTTCCCAGAGCATCTGGTAGGTTTGAACTTTCAACCTCGCAGCTAGCACAGTTAACAGTCTAGTGCTTATCCTAGAGCACCACATTCCTTGTTGTTGTTATCAGGTGCAATCGGGTCAGAACCGACTCACAGCGACCCTATGCACAGCAGAATGAAACAATATCCAATCCTGGGCCAACCTGACTACCGCTGCCACACTTGAGTCCATCAATGACACCACCTGGCCAATCCATCTCGTTAGGGGTCTTCCTCTTTTTCTCTGACCCTCCACCTTACCCAGCATGACATCCTTCTCCAGCGACTGTT